ACACAACACACACACACACACACACATATATATATATATATATATATATATGTCTGTGTGTGTCTATTTGTCTGTATGTCTGTGTCTGTATGCATGTATGCATATATGCATGTTTGCATATTTATATTTATGCATTTATGCATGTATGCATGTATGCATGTATGCATTTATGCACTCCTGTATGTATACTAGCATGTATGCATGCATGTATGTATGCATGCATGCATGCATGTAAGTATGCATGCATGTATGTATGTATGTATGTATGTAGGTCTGTATGTCTATATGTACGTATGTTTGCATGTCTGCATGTTTGACGCACATCTTTAAGTCGCACACATACACATACCTACAAACACACAGATGAATCCATACACACAAGCACACACAAATTTGTACATATTTGTATACATACGCTGTGTAGGTTATATGCGATTTGTATGATACACCAACGCATAAAAACATACCGATACGCAAAAAGTCATTCATCCTTTCAATACCTTCGGACAAATAATTGCTAGGGTATCAACGCATGCTAAGTATGAGCTGCCTATCTGTGATCTCGCAGTGATTGTTCTTGTACATTTGCAGGTGTTTATCCATTATATCACACACATGCACTTATATCGATGTAGCCGTTTGCTTAGGGATTTTGTAGACATAGATTGATATCCATGCATACTTCATTTGTCAGGTTTGCTGTCACTAAGGATAGACGTACGAACTGTAATCAGTGTGATAGTATATGAACAGTTGAAATTCCCGCTTCAAATTTGTAGGCCAGAAACTTCGGACGAATTTTTCAGAAGTCAGAAGCCGATACAGGCTCACGAAATGGGGTATTCAGACTTCAAGAAGCACAAATCAGTCTACAGCATGATTAAGGAGGTAAGCTGGTATATGGTATTGATTATTGTATACATGGTTAATTTAAAAAAAATCGTGGACCATTTTGTACTTTGCACTGTTTGGCTGTTCACTCGGTCGTTAATTAAATCCATTGGACATGTGTAGGGGTGCCCTTTTTAGCCCTTTAGTGTTGGGCATCAACGTTTGGGCCTTTGAGAGCAGGGTGTATCTCCAACATCCATGTCGATAGTCCGTCTGAATGTGGACGTTTTTTATTGCCAAAAAACAAAAACTAAATTAGTCTGCTTGTACCGCACTTTGACTCATTAGAGAGAGTCAAACAAACTCAAACCTGTAGAGAAAAACAGTAGCAATGCTTACGCATTTGGAAAATTTCTCCCGAATCAAACGACCAGTGGTCTCGCGCTGTCATCTCAAGCCTTCTGCGGCAACTATACAACAGATGGGCAAACCTTTATGTCCGCTTGTCAGGTGTGCACGAGTGTGAGCATATGCGTCAGCACAATATCGAGAGTTTACTGAAATGACTGTTGTGGAGAATGTATAACGTGCGCATGTGCTTTTGTGCGCACGTAGACCCGACACTGCAGACGGATTTAGCGTCGTCTATGGTGTCATATCGTTCAGTGGACGTATCGAACTTATTTAATTTCGTTGACGCATGTTTTAAAGTTTATAAACGAAATTGGGTTCGGGTGCAGGATATGTACATTCGACTTTTCCACTACAGCAAGGGTAGGCATAAACTCAAACGAGCAATCAAGTGCCAGGACTTACGATGGAGTGTACTAGATGTCGATTTCAGTCCTGATCAGAAGAATTTGATATATAGCTCATGGTCGAATTACGGTATGTGCAGCATCACATTGTGAGGCGACTGTGGTAAATCTTGCTTCAGACTTTGCACTGCCGTTATTGTTTTGAGCTTCGCTATGGCTAATAAGTGAATTTCAATTTTAATCGACCAAAAACCGACATCTGCAGTACATTTGTGCGATGTCAGGGAGGGATCGGATGATTACGGCACCACAGAGCTGAATTTCAGCGACAGTGGCGACTTCAATCTTGGTCATGTATGCCACTTCTCTGTCAAGTTCAGTTCGGACAGCAAGTACATAGTTGCTGGGAACAATGCAGGAAAGCTGGTGGCATACGATCTGGAGGCGATGAAGCCAAGTTTATTCATACAGGGGCACACTGGCGATGTCAATGCTGTGATGTTTGCAAAGGATAACAGCAGTATAGTTTACAGTGGTTCTGACGATGGACTGTGTAAGGTAGGTTCGTCGAAATCAATCTGCCTGTTGTCCCAAGAATTTTTATGATAGGCGGGTCTGATGTAGGTTGATTGGTATCTGAAGCTATATAATTCGCCGGTATCACTGGTGGTTGTGTTTCAAGGTGTTGGATTGGAGATACTGCCTTGGTATCTCACTTAGTTCGTTTGATTGCACATTCAAATCGATGCCAGGTCTGGGATACGAGGTTATTCCGAAGCGCCTCAGTTGCAAAGCCTGTGGGAGTACTTTCTGGGCATCGCTCCGGACTTGCTTCAATCGACTCCAAGAGCGATGGCAGGTATCTGGTCACAAACAGTAAGGATCACACAGGTATGTCGCAGCTTTGATTAATGGCTTATTTACTTGTACATCCATTTAAGCCCACTGTCTGTACATTTTGAACAAGTCTAAACCAGTTTTACTTTCGCCTCAAATTCCAAATATTTTGATTTTTAGTGAAACTGTGGGATATCCGGAAGATGGTGACCGGGGCTGAAGCAGGTGTGTTTTTCCTATCACATTATACTTGGTAGCGTTTATCAATTTGAAGCCGGTGTCAGTGAGGCACGATCGTGGCGAGTCGTCCGACCTGTTCTGGAATTGATCAGTTTTGGACCATACTCATGTATTCGCACATTTACTCGCATAAACAGACAGTATCAATGGACCGGGCACTAGTTTCGATTACAGATTTGGTGGCAGTTTCAACAGGTATGTGGGATAGAAATTACTATGTCCAAACAATATATATATAGATTGATTTTTATGATGACATGACAAATTTCATCTTCAGTGTTACACTCGGAAGTTGATGGAATCGAAGTCTGCAGAAGGCTGCGTGCCCACAAGGTGTGTGCCCAATCATACGACGAAGCATCATCTGGGTGTGCATCACAAGTGCCGCCTGTATATTGGCTCGTATGCTGTTTTTACTTGTCATAGGGCATTGTGTCATCGGCATGAAAATACGGCTTTTCGAGTCTTTTTAAGCCGCGAAATGTGGCAGTTTTGTTTTTCGAAACTGTCGACTTTCATAGCTCTCAGCTAGGTGTTCTTCATACTTGCGGTTCTACAGTTTCATGCCACCAGGCGATCATGAAGATGACAATTCGATTATGACATATCGAGGTCACTATGTGAGCCGCACACTGTGTCGCGTGAAATTCAGTAGCGAACACACCACCGGAGAACGTTTCATCGCTGCTGGCTCAGCCGATGGAGATATCTGTAGTATGTTTTTTTAGAACGCTATCTGCACGTATTGTTGGGTATCTTTGATGTTTTGTGAGGAATCCCTTGGCGTGTTTTGATCGGGATGCTGTAATTTAGTAATTTGAACGGGATTAATTTCTTCGTTGTGTCTTTCTGCCTCGCACTTTTATGCAGATTTCAGTATGAAACTCACACGCCTCTAGCACCGAGCTTCTAGCATTTGCTGCTTTCCATTGACGGCGATGGATGGACTGTGTGCGGTGCATAAGTGTTCATGTTCTGATCTCACGCCTACTTTCAATTGCAGTCTGGGACGTACTTACCGGTGCGAAAGTGCGCATATTGAAGGGGCATGATGACGTAGTTCGTGATGTTGCCTTCCATCCTTACGAGAATATACTAGCTTCCTCGTCGGTATGTCAGTGTGTTGAAGAACACGTATGTAATATTGCTGTTTTGGTTGTTCGAGATAGTCTCCAGATGACTTGTTTTAACTTCACTTTGAACGACATCTGTGTATTAATGGGTACTTAGATCCCTAAGCACACGCAACTAGAATTCTCGCTTACGAATTTTGTTGTGGATGTTGAAGATTGCATACTGTCAGCCAATGTAGAGTGGTCCAGTCAGAACAAGCTTCACCTCTTCCTCGCCCGCACACCAAGCATAGAAGTACATCGGAATTAGGATTTTATTTTCACGTATAACAACGCTTTTCTGTTGAAGTGAACCTGCGCATCGCTCACGTAGTGTCTCACGCCTATCTTACTTTCTACAGTGGGATATGTCAATCCGAATATGGGAGCACTCCGACTGCACACGTGCCGAGCGCGAAGCTCAGCGCGGAGATCGACGACGCTCATCCCAGTCACAAACATCGGACGATGCAGAAGCCGATGTGCATGAGGTGCGGTTTGCCCACGGGAGATTTGGCAGGTATGAGTTTACATTGCCACGTGGACAATATGACAGTGATGACCACGCGAGTGACCCTGAGTGGGCGGTGGTGGGTGGCTCGGGCAGCGACGAAGTTAACGATGAGTCTGAGGACGGAGATAGCGACATGGACGGCGTGGATGTTGACTATGATGGTGGCGATGGAAATGGTGACGATATGAGTGATGATGCTGCATGACGGTGATGAAATAGTGTTCCTGCTGTTGATTTGTGAGTATCGTTTTTGGATTTTGTATGGCAGTGATCAAATAGTAATGTGGATGTGGGTTGCTGCTGACCGATCACACCGGGTCTCTTAGCGACTACGCAAAAAGTTGAGATGGCACCGTATTTAGTAACCACGAGAGGATGGAATTAATAGGTCCGGTATACAAGACACAGGCGCAAAGCGGAGGATTCGGGAGGTCTCGTATGCGGGGCCGTGCGAGTAGAATTTCCAACAAATACCGCTGGTGCATACACCGATACAACGACACAACACAAAAGGGCACGTCAGATCTCTATCCATGCAAGACGTGCAGTCGCATGTGTTGGTGAACTGCGCGAAGGCTTTCGATGACGCCGAACGCGATAATCTATCCCTTCGCTTCATACTAA